CCAAATGAGTGAATACATGATCAGCTGCGAAGCTGGAATGAGATTTACCAATAATATAAAATTGTATTTAAATAAAAAAATGTATTGCATTTAATTGCTTATTTTTTTGTAAATATAGCTAATACAGCATAGGCCTTTAGAAACATTGCACGATGGACGCCAATTGTTCCATGCTACTCATTTGCTGCAGATTACTTAGTCGCTGTGCATAAAGCTTGAAGCCATTTAAATGTTGTTTGCATCTGAAGTGATTAGTATTCTAAACAAATAAACCCATAAACAACAAATTCTAGATTTTGCCTAATTAATGTGCATTTAACCGTCACATAAATCGGCAGAAATCTTACAATAAAATGTATTTACCTTCCATTTTAATTTCCAAGATCTAAATATTGGTATATGTTCACGAATTAATTGAGATATTATTTTCACTCTTTCATTTAGGTCCTTCTTTGAAGTTACGTTTTTATTTATTTCCAAGTGAAAAGGCCAACTTACAAAAAGACTGGTAAAGAAATTTGCAATCCATGTAGGCCTACACGTTACTATTTTTCAAAATTAATATTTAAATTAATATTCTAAGATCAATATTGTGAGGAAATAATGCAAATTCTAGGTCATATATTTTCAAAATCCACAAATTTAGATTTTAAGAAAGTTTTTATTTTTTTAATGAATTAATATATGTAGATATCAGTGTGATTAGATTGAGAAATCATAGAGAGTTGGATAATAATATCGATACATGTGATTAACTCGTCTTGTTATGCTCTGATTGACATTTAAACGTTTCTCCCCCACGCAGAGAGCTGCGGTCCGCTGCTGGGTGAGAGTGAGGACCCAGACTCAGAGAAGCCCGCCACCAAGCAGCAGAGGACCAGAAGGAAACCCCGCGTCCTCTTCTCCCAGGCTCAGGTGTTTGAGCTGGAGCGGCGTTTCAAGCAGCAGCGTTACCTGTCCGCCCCGGAGAGAGAGCACTTGGCCAGCTCGCTGAAACTCACCTCCACGCAGGTCAAGATCTGGTTTCAGAACAGGAGGTACAAATGCAAGAGGCAGCGGCAGGACAAGAGTCTGGAGATGGCAGGTCATCACCATCACCACCACCACCACCACCCACCGCCGCCCAGGAGGGTGGCTGTGCCGGTGCTGGTCCGGGACGGGCGGCCTTGTCTGACTGGATCTCAGAACTATAACGCTTCTTACACAGTGGGAGCTCCGAACCCGTACAGCTACAATGGCTATCCAGCCTACAGCTACAACAACTCGGTGTATACTAACACTTACTCTTGTACGTATTCTAGTTTACCTGCTCTGCCGCCCAACAACACTCCTGCTAATGCTTTTATGAACATGAATTTGGGAAACCTCGGCGCACAGACACAAAGCCAGGCGCCCCAAGGAGCACTCGTCACACCCTGCCAGGGAACTCTGCAGGGCATCCGGGCATGGTAGCGCAAGTCTTTACGCACATTAAGAGCCGGGAGAGACTTCTCTGGGATGGCTGAATGAACTCAAGCATGTAAACCTGATCAACTAATGCAACAAAAGCACAATTCAAAAATCTGAAACACAAGAAATATAGGCCAGTTGGCTGTAACTGAAGGCAGGCCTACGAGGAACCCATTGACTGAGATACAAACCATATGCGCATTTTTCTCTGAGCCACAATGTTTAGAAAAAGTAAACCTGCTGTTGGATACATGTGATTGTTGGATTAAATGTTATAGCAAAAATAGCAGACTGCGCAATGTGGCCTATGTGTGGCAAAAATAAAGCGACGTTTTTTATACATTTCCATACAAACAAGTTTATGCGGGTATAGCCCATGATAAATCCATTTTGGCGTAAAAGGCCCATACATTCAATTAAACCTCTAAAATGAATTGCAAGAAATAACAAAATGGACCACAATGGCTAGATAATGCAATATTATTAAGTATTACGTTGTTTTTTTCTTTGTACCAATGTGATTTATTTTTGTCCAGCAGACTTTGTTTTACTCTAAAAGTAAATGAGATGAACGACAGGCTTAACTGATTAAAACGGCCTCAAGTTACAATGACGATAATTCTCACTGATGATGAAAGTAAATGATACAACAAACATAATGACACACGTGACTGTTGTTCTGTACTTTGTGTGTGTGCATGTGTAGGCTATGTGTGTGTGTTTGGAACGACTGAGTATAGCCTATACATGTATGTAGAAATGTACGCTTCTATGCCTCATATAGTACGTTTCTGATTTTGCTTTAAATCAGGTGCTACTTCATTTCAATATTCATATCAATCAGGATGGGAAACTCAAATAAATTCATGTTGAGTTGAACTTTTCTGCGTAGTTTCTCATCGTCTAAAATCGTTTCTCAAACATTTTTTTCCTGTGAGAACGCTTGTGTTAGACTTTGGTCTGAGACAAGAACCAGAAACAGAGAGAATTTAGAGGCGAGCTAATGTCCGGTCAGGATTCAGAGATGGACATTAACCAGACAGCCAACATCCTCGGGAACCCACAGAGCGAATAAACTCACAGAACTTCGGATGATAAATATTGTTGATAAAAAAAGAATCTCCTTGAGGCATGACATGAAATAAGTCCAAAATGTATATTTACATTCAAACTATGACTTTTAATGCATATTACAAATAATAATTATGTTTTAATGATACAGCATCGGTATGTTTATAATTGGTATACTACAAGAAAAATTACCCACATTTTCACTCACTTACACTCGAGGACACACACACGCCGTCAATCGGAGATGGACTTCAGCAAACACCTTTACCTCCTAGCATGGTCGAATACGCAGACACTATTAATGGAGATGAATGGCAACGTAAACAGAGTGTTTGTCTCCTCTGATAGCCTCACTGGCCACTTCCCCTGGCTACTGCACTGCCGGTAGGACATACCTGGTGTCAGCTCTAAGTGCTGCAGAGTCACTCGTGTAAATAGAGCTGGCGACAGGACGGCGATGCCTGAGGACGCGGCCTGGCCATGGCTGCTCTGACAGGCGCTGCGATTGCTATCTTGTGCTTCCAAAGATAGCAGCTCGGATCATCGCAGAGCTAGGCGAGGAGTTTCCCCAAAACAAAGTCTCCAATGGCAACCACTCAAGGGGCTCACAAAGGAAGCAGGGCCCAAATATGGAGAAGGAAAAGTGCGTGGAGATGCCGAAGTGAAGGCTCTCCTCGGCTATTATTACATTCATTAGTTCAAAAATACCATTTCATGAAGCGTCTGGTAACATTTCAAATACACTTGGATGCTGGTGTTGTACATATTGTAAAAACCTCAAAGACAACAGTGGTTTCGCACTAATAAAATTGGCTTGGATGTGGAAGCCATGTGAGTAACATATAAATATATGTGTGTGTGTGTGTGTATATATACTTACTATACACACATACTGATATATATATATATATATATATACACATACATATATACATATACGTATACACATATATACATACGTATACACATACATACGGAGGCTGAAGATATGAGTGCATTCGGACACAGGCAGGACTTTTGCTTGGTATGCGTTAGTGAATCAATGGCTTAAAATCAACTGTCACACCATTTATTACAGCAAGAATGTTACGAAGTAAAGAGTTAAATTCTAACATGCTTTGCTGAATTAAAACCTAACATTTTGAAAATGTCGGGGATGACGTCTCATTGGCTGAACGAACCAGAGGATTCCCATCCGGACATGTTGTGACACTGATGCCAATTTGCGCTCTGTGGCCAAAAAACAGAAAGATTTCTCTGTTTAATCAGAGGAAGAAAACAAAACAACACGGAGAAGGCAGATCACTGCATCTGTCATCGCGTCTCCTCGATGAAGAGTAGGTCTGCTGATTGTGCAACGCGTGCGCGCACGTGTACGTGGGAGAGAGATAGAGGGGGCGTAATGCCTATAGTTGGCATCTTTTCTTTTTCGAAGACTCTCCATGTTGTAAATAGATGCATTGTGACCACATGGCGGCGCTACTCACCTGTTTGAGCGACAAGGCAGGGAGTCATCTCTTTATGGTAAATCAGATATTCAGTGAAATGTCTGTCTTGGTTTTTGTTTACACACTTTATAAACATCTTGGCCTCCAAAAGATCAGACTGGTAAATTTAAAACGTCACAGCTGTTTGATTTAAAATATTCACAATTGTGTGCATATAGAACAATTACTTCACAATGGTGAAGAAGATACACTGACTGGATAATGGATTGAAGCAAATTTAGCCATTTTAAATTACAATGGACTTGTCAGAGTACAGTAGTATTGAGTGGAAGCTGAAATTAAAGTTCATATAGGCTGCTGTATTGTGGAAGCTTTCCCACACGCGAGAGCCTTTGCTGCATTTTACGCATGCTTAGCGAACTTTACGCACCAGATTTTCTTAGTAAAGTTTACATGTAAATATATTTTTTTAAACTAACAGTGGCTTAAACAGACCTAATTTGTAAAAAAAAGTTGATAATATCCGCTCTGATTGTCTAACTCGTGTTCAATATTCAAAGTGATTGAAATGAGCAAGTGTCCAATAATCTCCTTAAACAGGATCTGGCACATTTAGCCATATGGAGCAATGGAGCTTGTTTTATTCCTTGCGTTTGTAACGCAATAAACTAATAAAAATCACACGTCACAAAAGTGAAATGCATCGTCTGCAAAATGAGTGTCCGTTGTCCTCAATATAGCGCCGAGACCAGCATGGATCTGGGCGGTGCGGAGGAGGGACCAGGCAGAGAAAACAGCCTATCGAAGGTTAACTGACGCTGCTGCTGAGAATATTGTAAAAGACTTGACAGCTCCTGGTGTAGGCTGTTCAGCAGACCGGATTTAGATCACCACAATCAAATTAGAGCAACTAAAGCGAGCGGAGAAAAGATCGAATCAGTAAGGACTTCTGCTTTCATGTGGCTGATCTCTTGATGCCTCCAAACAACTCACACGCGAGCGTGAGGAAATATCCGTGCGCTTATCTGAATCATGACATTAAGTTTTTCGTCCTTCTCCATCAAAGACATCCTCACAGGACGTGATGCCAGAGAGAAGCTCGGGACCAGGTTTACAGAAGAGCTCTGCGCACCAAAGCGCAACATCTGCAGCGGGCACGCTACTAGAGTCACCAATCTGTCTCATCAAAACGCGGATGAGAACCGCATCCACCCGGAGAGACTTCCTGCTGATCTCAGTCTGTCTGTTGGAAACCTCCGATCTGATACCCACAGAGAGGAGACTGAGCTCAGAGGTGAGCAGTTTTATTCCAATCGGCAGTGAGGGATTGTAAAGACTGTAACAAATATGACAATAACTTGAGAATTTCGTTTCTTTCCATTTAGATTAGAATGATAAAGTCCCGAAATTCAGGAAGAAAAAAAGAAATACAATCCTGCTTTGGAAACAGGATGATTTCGTCTCGCCATCTTTTTGAGATAAAATATGGGTTTGATAAATTGCATGATGGGTTGTTTTCAGTAGTATTTACAGTGGTTACATGTATTCACCTTTCCCCCAAAAATGATGTCTTTGAATAGATGCAAAGAGAACCATATTGTATGCAATTTAATAGCTGAACTGTGTTTACCTTGTCGGGATTAAAACAGAAGCATGGCACCAAAAGATTGTATCTGAGGATTTTGTTCGTAAAAAATGTTTCATCTGAAAGCCATATTTATTACATTATATCTGCAGATTTTCTGACGGCGTGAAAGAGATAAGCGAGAGAGTAAAGCCTAATTTTGGCCAACATCAGCACCTTGTTGAAGTGACCTCCGCCGGTATCATACGGCGTTATGCTTTGGACCACCTTGACAGAAAAAAAAAGCACACTGATGTCATCTCCTTTGTCTTTCCTAGGCGCTGCAGACCAGCAGACACACACTGCGGAGCGGGATAAACAGCAAAAAGAGGAGGAGGAGGCGGAGGAGGAGGGATGTCACCACAGCGGTGAGACGGTCAGCTGTTCGTCCGATGAGCAGCGGTGCAGGCCCTCAACGAAGAAGCGCTCCAGGGCGGCCTTCTCTCACGCACAGGTCTACGAGCTCGAGCGCCGGTTCAACGTGCAGCGGTATCTCTCGGGTCCTGAACGAGCCGATCTGGCGGAAGCTCTGAAACTCACAGAGACCCAGGTGAAAATCTGGTTTCAGAACCGGAGGTATAAAACCAAACGGCGCCAGATGGCGGCCGAGCTGGTGGCGTATGTCTCACCAAAGACAGTCGCAGTAAAAGTGCTGGTGAGGGACAACCTCAAGCAGTACCAGCAGGCCAATGGAGTACACATCCCAATGACTGTGCCGCTGTACCACCAGGCCTACCAGTACCACCCCTACCTGCACTACTACTGCCAGCCCTGGAGCATGAACAGCATGTCCTGTGGAGGGATGCTCACATGAATTGGACAAGTGTCTCTCCCAACTCAAGGTGTTGGCAGCTTTTTATACACTCAATGGATTACCCTGTCTGGTCAAACGGACTGAGACTGTACACGTTTTTTTGTTTTGAATATTTGTTTTATATTCGAGTGATTTTGTGTCTTAGAACCAGAACCCAGTTTGACATTTTGGCCAGTGGATTAGGGTTCTAAAAAAATGCAAATGCCTCTCACAATGAGCTAAATTTAGAAATATTCTGTAAGTCTTTAATCAATAAAATAAAAATAATATTAAAACATTCTGTGTTTGCCTGCAGTGACGATTAGCGTTGGCATAGGCATTACAAATCTCTTTTAATTGATGAGATTATCACTGTGTGTAGAAAAGCTTAAAAGTTACGACCAAGATTTGAGTGTGGTTATTATTTGGAATGATTTGCAAGAAAAAAAATCCTGATCTTCCGGGTATATTTTCAGAATCTTGTCGGATTTGCTTACTATTTGATTTCAAGACACAACGGTGAAGAGACAGTACAGGGGTAACGGGCTCTGACATATCTGATCAAATAGAGAGGTCTTTTTTTTTATTTTTTTAACACTCTGATACCATATTTCAGCATTCCCATGCAGGAGGGATTTTTTTCATTTTTTTTACAGGATTCAAATAGTGGTACATAAATGTTACAGTGTGGGTCATAAAGGTGTGTTCTGCTACATGCAGAACACACTACAATCCTGTCTCTGGTTCAGAGGTTTATTTTTCCCATTACACTAAATGTTTTACGAAAAGTTGTTTCCTCCTTCTGCATAACAAAAAGTCATTCTGCCCCTAATCTGCTTATTTATAATTCTAAAAAATGTAATTCCATAAATATACTAAGGTTTGATTGAACCATCTTCAATTATTTATCCTTTACAGTAACAGCACAGAGCTACATTTTTAGATAGAGGGAGGGTAGTACAGTATTTTGTCATGGACTGGGTCCATAACAAATATTAACAATGCTTGTGAGTGTTTCAATTAAAAAACTAACATTCATGGTTTAATCCAAGTCATTTTCATACAAACCCTGAATATCTCAATAATGAGAAAAAAAGAGAGTAAAATAGCTTGAAAGTGATATTTAGTGGGTGTAATCTAAATGATATCCTCAGCTTACTTGATAAAGGTTTATTTAAATTGAAAAATGTATACAAATACTTAAAATAACTCCAGTGGGTCTGAAATGTTGTAGCTGAGTTAATATACAAATAATGTGTAAATGCAGTTTGACCAGCCCATTAGATGAACTATCTGTATGTTACTTTCTCCCTCTCAATGACTGACAGTAACATTCCACTAGCGACCAGACAGAGCAGAAAGGAATCCTGAATTTATACAAACCCAATGAGAAAAAGTATCTTATCTCAACATGTATAACCAAGACTCTGACATTTTAAGTAGGCATTTATTATATTTATGGGACATCTTTCTTGATCGAGAAACTTAACATAACACCTGCAGGAATACATTATTTACATGAGGCTAATGGACATTTAGGAACCTTTTGGAGAGTGTGTCTGTGTGTGAGCATGGAAATATAACTGTAAAAAGTTCCATGCAAAGAAATGCAGCAGCAGCTAATTTTGTGAACTGATTTTTGGTATAACAATGACACTTTACTGACTAAACCAGATGAATTTTAGAAGGTGAATATTTACTGTTCCTTTTGAGATGTGTGTGTGTGTGTGTGTGTGTGTGTGTGTGTGTGTGTGTGTGTGTGTGTGTGTGTGTGTGTGTGTGTGTGTTTTAAGAGTCCTGCATAGGTCTCCTCTCTACTGTGTGCTGCATGAGTCAGAGAGGGTCAATAGACCGTGGAGATGTTGCACCATCCAGCCGGGCTGCACAAGACAGCGCACATTAACCACGCCTTTCTGAAAAGACTACACACTCATCCCAAAGATATGTACATGATGGCCATACTTGATAAGAAAATAAAAACTAGGGCTTTGGCCGTTAACTGTTGTGTGGCATTATGGAGCCAGCAGGCTGCTGGGAAGGGCACGCAGAGCACACGGTCCACTGATGTACAATACAGATAAATAGATAAAAGAAGTTTTCTCCTGGACAGAAATAAAAAAAATAAAAAATAGATATTAATGTTCACCGACATCACTTTGACATACAAGGTTGTGTGGTCATGCACAGAATGTTTGCCAGTATTTGCCTACAGCAAGGTACCATGTCTATTTAAGCACGAGCAGATATTATCATAACAATATACAACATAAAAAGAGAAGAAGAACTGTGATGTAAAATAGGTACTTCAACTTCCCTTTTCCCACGACGAGCTGCTTTGGCGGAGAGGATCACCTTGTGCCATCCGCTGGGCTGGCATCAGACCAAACCTCATTTATCTCTTATATCAAAACACCACTTCAAACAATCCTAAGTGGTTGACACAACAGGCTTCTGGGAGGGAGGAGTAGCTACTGCACATAACACTCATATTGACAATGAGCCTGTAAATCACCAGGGCTACATTAAGTCTAATTATTTTCATTTACACAGGGTGTTTTGGCTGTTGCAACAGAAACAGTCATGGTATTGCATTGCGGCTCCAAGGTATGACACTTTCTATGTGCTCTGATTAGTCACATTGTGCTGGTGAATAGTTGCTTCAGTCACTGCCGTCTACCGTGACTAGATACGCTTTCTTTCCTTTTCCCGCACCCAGTGATGTCACACGGATGTAAATTTCCATTGAGAAGAAGTTAGGCATTGAAAAAAAGTGAATAACACAACCCATATTTTGATCACTATGGACCTCATATTAAATGACAATTCTGATTGATTTCAAATCGGGCTTATATTCACATGTTTTGACCATTATTGTTATTAGTTTTGGTAAAATTGTAATCATCAAGTTAATTGCTGAAATCTGGGAGAATGGCAACATTGCTACAACAAAGCCAAGGGGGCAAGAGACAGGAGCAGTCGGACGATCACAGAGGTTAGAACTCAAGCCAAAAACATTATTTGAAGGTAAATCTAAATGTGATCACAACAATATATGTATTTTGTATCAATTCATTGGCAAGTGCGGTTGATCAAAGTTGAACCAGTATGTTAGCAAATAAGTTCGAGTTAGTTTTTTCGGTTTGCCTCCGTTTTCTCTTCCAAACACGTGGTTAACCTTGGGATCTGTTTAAAACCTATATGATTAGTTCTGTTTCCATTCAACTTTCAAGCTTATTTTAAGAAAACTTATTACAAATATATTGTGAATTAAGTGTTTCCACTAACTGATTCGGAGTGAATACATAAGTTTACACAAAGCGTAGTTACGTCAGAAGTCTGCCGCTATGCTTTACGTTTCCATACAGCATATAGCGCACAAACTCTTTTGTGACAAAGGCAAAAAACCACTTCAAGCGAGCATCAAAACTGTTTTTGAGCAAATTCAAGAAGTTTTATTGAATTGTGCCATTTCCATACAGCTTTTCTAATACCATACTTCAATCTGCGCAGAAAAATACGTTAATGCAAACACGGCTACTGTCGGTGTGTTTCTTTGCCCTTCAGATGTCTTTGCTACATTCTCACATCTCATCAATTGTGTGCTGTTCCAGGCAGTAGTCCACTGATCCTTCAAACATTACTGCATGTATAAATATGCAATGCTCAAGTATGTAAACACTTTGAGTCGTGCTTTATTTGCGTGTCTCCCCGTGAATAGGCTCACCGAAGAGAAAGAGAGCCTGAAGAACATGTTCCTTTGCCTCTTCAAACAATCAGCGCCAGAATCCACAACTAAACAAAGCATTAAAGAGTCGATCTAAAGTAGAAACAGGTAACTTCCTGTTGTCTTTTTGTTGCAGATATCTCAACTGGCAGGAATGCGTTGAGGGTGGGACCAAGTTAAAGTGAGCAACACAGGAATGACAGTCCTCACCTAATCCATGCTCGACTTGCTTTTAAGATCCAGATCTATTGATGGACAATTCTCACAGGGCTCCTGAGCAGCAATTACACATGCACCTCCGATGCGCCTATTGTAACAGGACTTATTTTCTCAAGGGCATTGAGATTTAGACAATATCATCTTCAACTGCTGGCACCGAGACTGCGACGGGTAATATGAAAGGATTTAGAGCTCACACGAAAGCAAGACTGGGAAAGGGTTCCCACTTATGACTCCGTTGTTGATGGTACTATCAGAAACAGTTACAACAAGTGCTAAATAATTCAAAGATGTAGCAGTAGTGTGTGTTTTGCCGTTGGCCCTCGGCAGACACAGGGGCAGGACTCAGGAAGGAGAGGGGTCATTGTTGATACCTCTGTTTGAAGACAGATCTACTTCCCTTTGACCTGGTCTCACACACACACACACACACGCACACACACACACACACACGCGCTGCAAATAATCCCACCCAGGGGACTCTTCAGGCTTGTCCCAGAAACTATTAGCAGATAGCATCAGTGTATGTAGGAATGTAAACATTTACAGTAAAGCTGAAAGACATCAACTCCCCCTGGGGAAGACACATCCATCACTCCAACCGCATCAGCACTCACAAGCCCCCCCCCCCCCATGGTTCCAAACGTTATTAGCTATCACACCTTGGTGAACAATTGGAACCGATTATGATGATCAGCACACATTAATGTCCTGTCAGTGAAGTTGGTAACTTGACTGATGCATGCTGCAGTGTACAACGTTACTGCAAATTTCAATAATATTTCCATTTACCAAAGCAAAATATTCTTTTGAAAACTGGTTTACATCTTTTGACTAAACTTGTTTGACGTTTGAGGCTGAGCAGTGTAGAACCCAGCAGTTGTTGTGGCCCACTGGTCATAGTATTGAGCCTGTGTAAAGAAATGCATTGATCCCAGCTCTGTGTTTGTCAGAGCAGGAGCCGGGGTCATGGAGGGATTAGAAAGAATAGAAAGATGAGCCCACCCAGGACTTTCAAAAACAGACTCATTTGAAGGAAGTAGCACAGGTCTAGTCTACACGATGTGTGTGTGTGTGTGTGTGTGTGTGTGTGTGTGTGCGCGCGCGCGTGTGTGTGTGTCTTAGTCCATTAGGAGCAGATATGGGGTATTCAGGGCTGAGAGTTTGAGTGGAGGCAGACTAAGGAACAGCACAAACGTAAAGCTCACGAGGGAAAGTAAGACCACGAACACACACCCTTGCCAAACACTTCATTGTATGTTTGTATGCACAGTTTATATTTTTGCACAATTATACTGTAAATGAAATGAAAACTCTTGCTGAAACATACAAAGAATATTGTATTTAAACTATGAAAAATATAAAACATATACAGTGTACTACAAGAAACAACTGGAAACTTAAGGGTTGTATGAC